CCCAAGAATGTCAGATTTTCCATAATTCCCTACAGTTTCCGTATTATCCTACTTACTTTTCAGCCACAGTCCCTAGTTCTTTTAATCAGGACTTCCCAGCTATGTCCCACTACTGTATTACCAGGATGTTGATACTTGCTGTGTCTAGAAAAGAAATTAGTCTTTACTTTTATGTTCCCACACATTTGAACTGCCCATCAGAGCCTAGAGCTCTGGCTAACCACAAGTCATTGTAGAGCACCCAAGCCAATAACCACTTCCTTGGTTTTGAATATCACTGCCCAAAGAAGCTGAAGAATGTGTAGGAAGAAGTGGCCCTCTTCTCACTGGAATACACCCACCTTCATCATTTCAACTACCCTTTGATTTTCCACAAATGTCTCCTAAGTATCCTGCATAAACATTTCCAGTTATAAACTGGTCATCTACTTGAACATTCTACAACATCCTCAGACCAACTTATTCAAGATTATTTTATAATTTCTTTACCATCTGAGTGTGCCTTATCACAGTGAATTAATCTTGCCATCCACCTAGTAACCTAAGTCAGCAACTCTTCACCTTTAACCTCATATCTATCTGGTTACCTTAAATCCTTGCACCTTTTCTAGCTCCATTGCTACTACTTTAAGCTTTAATGGTTTGTTGTTGTTGTTGTTGTTGTTGTTTGGTTGTTTTTTTTTTTTTTTTTGAGACTGGGTTTCTCTGTGCAACAGCCCTGGCTGTCCCTGGAACTCTGTAAACCAAGCTGGCCTTGAACTCACAGAGATCCACCTGCCTCTGCCTCCTGAGTGTTGAGACTAAAGACGTGCGCCGCCGCCGCCGCCGCCACCACCACCACCACCACCCCCACTCCCCCGCTGCTTTAATGATTTTTTACCTGGGCTATTTCATCATTGTCTTAATTCAGTGAGTTTCAGAGTTGGATTTTTATACCTAGAAATTCTGTAGAATCACAGAAATTTTAACTTGCTGAATAAGAATATTGAAGAATTAAACTATTCATTATTAGTTCAGAGATGATTTTAGCACCAAAAGATGATGAGGCAATCTATTTCAAATGCATTATATTGTCTTTTTTTTTTCTCTTCACCATGTGTCATGGAAGACTGAAACCAGAGTTCCAGAAGTTTCAGTCCATGGTCATGTGTTCCTATTGTTGTGGATTTTTTGTTTTTGTTTTTGTTTTCTTTTTTCTTTTTCTTTTTTTTTTCTTTTCTTTTTTTTTGCAGAATATCATGATGGAGAGGGTATGGCAGAGCAATGTTGCTCACCTCATGGCAGCCAAGAAAAAGAAATACAGAACTATCTGAAGTTAAAATTTATCCTTCTAGGGTACACACCCCTGGTAACCTACTTCCTCCAAATAAGCTCTACCTCCTAGTTTCCACAACCTCCCAATAATGTAATAGAATGAATTCACTAATGAAATCTCATGACCCAATGACTTCTCAAAAGCCCATTAGCTAACACACAAGTCTTTAATACATGAGCCTTTGGAGAATTCAGATTAAACCATAGCAGGCGATTGTGGTACTGTTTTAATAGTTTCACATTTGAAAATGTAGTTATTAAACATTTCATGCTATAACCATCTTGATATCTAATCATATCAGTGTGTCTTATCCACAAAAATTAATGTACTCAGAATTTGATAGAATTTCAGAGGTTTTACAGATTTGTAACCACTGTACTGAGTGGGGACACAAATCCCATAAAACACTTTCCTCACTTATAGTTAAGTTCTCTTAGTCAATCTACTCTTCCAAAATAATACAAGACAATAACTATCCTTTACTGTCTACTTTGTTACAACTACTCTATGTGAATTACAATTTCTCAAAACCATGCAAAGAAGGCATCTTTCCTATCTTACATATAAGAAAATTGGGACAGAGAGTTACTTCCTCAAGATGACATAATAATCTTCAAAATACCCCCACTAAAGTTGGTAAAGTCTTTTGTGTCTGTCTGTTTATGAGCCCAGGTTTCTAATTCAAGACATTTATTTCTAGCAGAAACCATATTGACTATATACAACACGTCACAAATAAGATAAATGCTAATACTGATAATCAATGTTATGGAATAAATAACTGGCTTTGTGTTGGATGTTGTGTTAACTTTCATGGAAACTAGGAATTTAAGTGTAAAGTGCATGGATTGTTCTCTTGGAGTCCACAAATGAAATAGAGAGGTACAATTTAGTATTTTAAATAGAGGAACACCCAACAGTCAGTTTGTTTATTGGCAGGCTTTGAAGGGGTGGGTTTGGGGAAAGAGATGGGGGAAGGGAGTTGAAGTGGATCTTCCACCAGAACATTCCAGACTCTTTGGGTATAAGGGCACTGGTTCAAGTCTGGTTACTTCCTGAGGGCATGGGATGATGTGGGGAAGTGGATAGTTGGGAGTTGGTGGGCTTATATTCATCAGGAGGTGTGAGGGGAGGAGCATCTGGTTAATTGTCATCCTGGAGACCTCAGGCATCTGTTTCTTGAGGAAGCAAAGAAGGCAAGTTTTTAGGAAAAAAAATAGATCATTAACATCTACCCTAGTTGTACTGCAAAGATGAATGTAGAGAGCAGAAGAGCAGATAGGCCCTTTATTGGGGCATCTTGGAAAACCAGAGGGTGGAGGGTTCCAGCTGCTGGACAGACCATGTATCCTGAATAGATGCTTGCTTGAGCCTGGAGAGATGGTACCAGCATGGGTGTCCCAGGAACTTGGCAGCCGAGGGGCTGGTGAGGATCACAGTATAAGGTCCTGTCCACTGGGGCTCAAGAGACTTAGGAGCTAGCTGTTTGAGGAGTACTCTGTCCCCTGGGGAGAGTGGGGCAGGCTCAGGGGCAGTTGGTTTTGTTGGTGTTGGGGCAGGGAGATAGCTGTCAGCATGTGAATGGAGAAGGGACCTCAGAAGAGAGAGGTAGAGGAGGTACCCGGCCAGTGGGGGGGTTTGGGCCAGAAGGTGGTGATTGAGGAGGAAGGGCCTTCTGTAAAGGAGCTCAAAGGGGCTCAGGCCTGTAGGAGAGCATGGGGTGGCCTAGAGGCAGGTAAGGGCAATGGGGAGAAGGGAGGGCCAAGATAACCTAAGTTCAATAGAGAGCTTGGTGAGCTGTTGTTTGATGAGTCCATTGGCCTTCTCAACCTTTCCCAGGGATTGTGGGATAGATAGAGATAGATAGATAGAGAATGTGAAGTTTCCAGAAGATGTTGAGAGCTTCTAATAGGAGATCCATGATACTGTGAATCCTTGCTGGGTTGGTGTCCTCAAAGCTGGTGCAGAGTCTGACATATCTGGAGGGACCCCTGTGAATGGACCTGTGAAATACTCAGGAGAGTGTATGGTGGCCAAGGTGAGTGGGTCCCCAAAACGGTTGAGAATATCATGACCAAGCAGAGGTTCAGGACAAGCAGGTATGACTAGAAAAGGAGTATGAGAAGAATCACCCTGCAAGAATGCAGGGAAGTGTCAGGGTCTAAAGTGGGAAGGAAGGGGTCCCATCAACCCCCATGACAGAAATTGGTGAGAGAACTGTAGGACCTGAGTGAGATGTCAAAACAAAATAGGTAGCTCTCATGTCCAAAAGAAAGTCAATGGACTTACCCACTACCTGCAGTGTCACCCTAGGCTTCGAGAGGGCGATGGAAGTCAGCAGGTCTAGGCTGCATCAGTCCTCCACCAGGCTTAGGAGTTCAAAGACCGGAAGAGTCTCAGTTGCCAATGTTGGTGAGGCTGGACCTCCATGGTATGGCATAGAGAACGAGCCTGTATGGGGACATTCCAATTTCCAGTGCCCAGGCTGTCGGCAAACAGGGCATGGTCTCCTGGGTGGCTGGGGGTCAGGGCAATACCATGACCAGTGGCCCTGCTTGCTGCATTTGAAGCGGATTTCTGGTGGAGTTGACTAGGGCTGAGCTCTGGCGGGATGGAGCCTCATGGCCGACTTCCCTTGTCCCCCTTGTGGGGGCCCTGGTGGCCTCAGGGCAGCTGCTAAGGCTTGGGCCTGGAGCATCGCCTTCTGTTGCAGCCTTATCTGTCAGGATGACTCAGCTATCTCTTCTCAAGCATTAAAAACTTTAAAAGTCATTTTTACCAATTCCCATAGGGGAGTTTGGGGACCCTCCTCAGCCTTTTTAAATTTTTTCTAATATCTGGTACTGACTGAGAAATGAAATGAGTGGCCAGGACCATAGCTCCTGCTGAGTCAAGACAGGTATATTCAACCATGGTCTCTTGTAACTGGTTTAGAAAAATAGCCAGGTTTTTTATCAGCTAGCTATGTAATCTCTCAGAGCTTATCAAAATTAACAACTTTGTCCAAGACCATTTCCATACCTTGGAGAAGGCAACAAACCATGAGGTCTCTTCTCTGAAGACTCAAACAATTCCATCAGCTCCAGCTACCTCTCAGAGAGGGCAGAGGAGGGCAGGAGTCTGGCGAGACCAAGTATGAGAAGAAACCAGGGAAGATTTGGGGGCATTAGGCCAGTGTGTAGAAGGGGACCAGGATGTAGGTTGAGGCATTGGGGAATGAGGGAGCAGTTGGGGGGGAGGGGAGGATAGAAAGGTGGGTAAGGAGGAGGAAGAAGGGGGAGGAGTGGAAAGAGGGAGGAATGTGAGGAATGTTGGCCAGTGAAGGGAACATGTGGCCCCAGAGGAGGGGGGTAGAGTTTAGAGGTAGGTAGAGTTTGGGGAAAGTGGGGGAAGGGCCAGTGTCTCCAGAGCCATAGTCAGGGCAGAATTTTCAGGATCCCAATTCCCAGATAGGTGGGAATCTGGAGGCACCATGACCCTAGCCAACAAGACTGATGCTGTGGGACACTGGCTGCTATAGGGAGGGTGGGAACCCCAAAACCATGGACATAGGGCAGTTCTGTCCAATTATCTCCAAGCTGACAAAAATTTTCAAGATCGCAGAGGATGGAAAATTCTAAGGTTTTCTTGGGAGGCCACCTTGACTGGTTATTGAGAACATACTGTGGCCAGGCCTTCGTGCTCA